CAGGCATCTTAACACCATAGCCTCAGGGATAAAAGTGGTAGGGGTGGGGGTCAGCTTGCTCCCATAGTCCCAGGGATAAGGGGCAGGTGAGCAGGCTTCTTTGAAAGGCTCGACACTTCTCACTAATATGAAAGCACAATAGAGACATTGGAGCAAATCATACAAATGCTAAGCCCAGAAAAAAAGTGAACTTCGAAGTGTTAAAAAGCTGCAGTTGGCTATCACATTCCTGTAGTTGTTGCTGAAACATTCAGACCATGTTTGAATTCAAATCCGTAGTGAAGCCATTGCCCTGAGACATTGTGAATTAAGGAGACTTCCACCAAAAAATGGACGTGGCACCAAAACCCACACAAGCAACTCCATTTGTTGCAAGGCCAGAACTGAGGTGTGCCAGGCAGACAAATGGGAGGGCATCAACGCAGCTATGGAAGGAAGGCCGAGTCCTTGAGATGATTGGTCTGCGTGAAACTATAAGACCCCTGTCTGTATAATAAGCAAAAGCAACATAATTGTAATAAAGCTACATGCAGCAATAAATGAGTGCATATCTGACTTTACCTGAACCCAGCCTGAGAGCTGCCCACTTTTCCGCCAGTTTGCATGCAGAACTGTTATGGCAGCAATAAGGTTGGAGGTCTATTTTGCTAGGTGTTTTATATGAAAACTGTAAGAGCCAGTCTTTGCCTCAAAGCGCTTGCCAACCTAACTAGATAAGGTGGGAGGAAGAAGGGAGACATAAAGCAATTTGCCCCAGGTCACATGTCAAGTTCAATGATCAAGATGAGAACATAACCTCTTGAATTGGTTGATCTTGCCTCTCACCAAATGTGTGACTTCTTCCATCCAGTTTCCCTCCAGGAAACACAATTTACTCATCTGTCCATTCCTTAAAATATTGTGGGTGGGGTTATGCTCATTCTGGTTTTTTTTTAAATTTGTTTAATTGTTTTTATCCTCCTTCCAGTTCGATTTTTGTTCTTATCTCGGTAAGATGAAAAGGCAGTGCATGTTGGTGTTGACTCAGGGTGGGTGTGTTTTCAAGGTCCATGGTGTGGCTTCCTGAAGACTATTTTATCTCAAGAATGTGTCCCATTAGCATCGCTCTTTGTGTTACCCATGCTGAGTCTCTATAACACAACTGCTGAGTTTGTAATGAAAATTGTGACTGTATTAACAAGACGTCTGTCCGTGAGCAGATGCATCCAAATAGAGTGCTCATAAGGTCAGAGAACCACTGATGGATGGTAGTAATCATTTGTATGGTGCACATCCTTCCAGCATGTCTCAGAATAGGTCTGTTAAAGCAGTCTGTTCAAGGTCTAGTTTCATTGCAGAGAAACATTGCTAGAATTGATAGTACAATAATCATAGGTACAGCAATATGGGGTAAATCTACAATTGACTTCTCTGGAGCTGTGCCTCTTTACACCAGCAGATCATTTGGCCCATATGACGAGAGGCTGAAAACAATAAGGCGGTTTAGTCTGAAGAAGAGATGACTGAGGGGAGCTTCAGATTCATAGAAAAGTAGGGCTGAAAGGGACCTCTAGAGGTCATCTAGTCCAACTCCCTGCCTGAGGTAGGATCATCCCTATCCATCCCATCCCATATAAATCCACCGTCTGACCTATTAGCAGCCACAAGACATAACACCTTAATCTCCTACAGCTAAAGTATGGGGACCATTGTGGCTGATGTCCTGCTGGTGCAAAAGTAGCTAAAATACATTCGAGAGATCCAAGGAAGATGGCCACACCGTTCTTCTTTCCCACCTCTCCCTCCCCCATTGCAGAAGAAGACCCCTCACAACCCATACCAATTCGATCACAGGGTAAAATTTCTTTGGTAAGTCTTCAAATACCTGAAGAGCGATTACAGAGGAGAAGGAAATAGACTTTTCTCCATGACTGTAGGAGATAGGCTTTATTTAGGAGCAATGGCCTCAGGATTCAGCCGGGGAAATTGAGGTTGGAGATTAGGAGGAACTCTCTGACTATGAAGGTGGTCAAACAATGGAACAGGCAACCTGCGGAAGTGGTGGGCATTTTCAGCCCCAGGTTAGATAGACACGTGACTGGGATCATTTTGCTGGGATGATCCTGCCCTAAGTAGGGGGCTGAACTATGTCCCTTCCAGCCCCAGTTTCCTCTGATCCTACATTATTTTGCCATTGGGTTTTTTCCTCTTCTTACAAGGACTCTGAAATGAAGCACAAAGATTTTCATATTTAAAGTTCTAGGAGATGTTCAAAACAGATTAAACTTACTTTTGTGATGTTTTAGCAAGCAAACAATGGCCATGCTTCTTTTAAAAAAGGACTGAACGCTAAGCAAGGAAAAATAAAAATGAAGCCAGGCGCTTTAGAACCCCCAAAGTAGACCTTTTCGATCTAACGCTAATAGAAAGTTAAATAATTAACAGCTAATTAACAACAGGAATGAAAGAACAAGCAGCGTGTCAGCAGTTCTGAAAAGGAACTACATTTCCCGTGGAAGGTTTCCACATGCCCAAGGGCTGCTATATGCACTGTTTCATTTCCTTCTGCAACATGCAGGATCTGTCTGAATGCAAGTTGTACAATAACAGTAAAATAATTCCCTGTCTGCTCAAGCTGTTGTTTTTTCATCTGCATTAGTTTGGTATGGTATGTTGAGATGTGGTCGTAGTGAAGCCTGGGTGTCAGCCACATCTGGTGAATCATTAGCTGCTGAAGACCCAGGAAGGCTGACCAAGAGCATTCCTCTGTTGAGTGCTTCAGAGAGGGAAGCACTTACAAGCACAGCCCAGGATAGGTGGAGCGGAAGAGTCTTGTCTCTACTCTGATGAATGCATGATGGATTCTTCTTCAATATACTTCATATCTGGCTTCAAGAGATTAAGTTTTTGCTTTAGCAACTGCCCTTGTTGCCATTCAAGAGCTGGAACAGAAGAGCTACAACTAGCCTCAAAAGGCAGAGCTAATGATTTTTGTCGCCATTAGGTACTATATGTATCAAAGTCTAGTGCAAGCCCTTGTAGTCCGCTCTGTAACCGTCTCCTGGAGTGGAAGGCCCCCAGATGCCTGTGGATTCCTGTAGTATAAAAGAAAAGAAAGCAGCCTCCAGAAAAGAATGGGTTGCCATGTGCACTGTTTGATTTCCTTACGCAGAACCCGGTCTCTGTCTGACTGAAAGTCATAATAATCACAGGAAAATCAATCATCTGGTTCACCTGGGAGCTTTGTGTCAAAGACATTTTTGAAAGACATTCTTTTTTCCTCCCGCTTGTAAATAATTTTGCAAATTAATCATCTGTACGGAGGTTGGAAAGGAGACCGAATTAGATTCTGAAAGACAGGCTGGGGATTTTTCTTTAAGGACGTGTATGCAAAATGATATGCAGCCCAAAGCAGCTCTTCCAGCTGAATAAACAAGATTGGCCAAACAAATATCACCCAACTGCAAACCTGTTTAAGGTCTATATTCCAGTTGTCCCCTAGCAGCCTTCTCTCCATAAATGTATGAGCTATTTTTGCTTTTGTAAATGGGTATTGACTTTGAAGCCACGAGTGCTGCTTTGCTGCCAGTTTCGTTTTGCTCCCAGAAGAGGCCAGCAAAAAGATGGCTGGTTTTTTTCTCAGCAAATAAAAAAAAATGCAAAAGTTATAAGAATTTGTGTCAATTTTTCCGTTTCTAGAAGGCTTTATGCTCTTAAACTGTTTTTAGAAAGCACGTCTTACTTCCCTTCGAATTAAATTAACACTTGTTTTTACCAGTTAAAAAAAATCCCCAAACATGAATGATAATTCGTCATGTGTACTTGACATTTGCAGAATGAAGAGCCAGTCTTTTCGAAGGATGGTCGGAAGTTTTTCTTCGTCCGAGCCATTCCTCAGGGTGGACGAGGAAAGTTCTACCACATTGCCATGTCCTCATCACAGGTGAAACGCCCACTGTTTGCGTTGTTGTTGTTAATTAGAATTGATTAGACTGTGTTATGAATATCATATCTGTGTTAAGACCAGAGACATAGCAGTACGTGCAGGAAGGACCTGGCTCCGTCTCAGAATAAGTATTTGCTCCTTAATTCAAGTAAATGCTAGCGGTAGTGGATAACTAGTCACCAGCAGATGATGCAGCTCACTTTGAATATAAACCTCTACAAATGTCCAGCACATTTCAAAGAATCTCCCTGTTTTGTATATTTTTTTTAATAAAGCACCTCCTTCATCAGTCAGTGAATCACACGAGAGGCTATTATCTGCAGGGCAGATGCCCTCTAGGCAGAACAGGTCGTAGGAAAGAATTGTAATCTGTACTCTATCCAAGTCACCCCGTTACCTCCAGTGGAGTTTTGGAAAGGATCGCTTTTAACTATTCTTATGCCTCTAAAGAAATATTTTGTAGCAATTCACCAAATAATGATTTATCTTAAATCATGGAATCATGTCGGCTTCATATTTTGAGAGAAAAGAAAAATAGACTTCGATAGAATTGTTTGATGGTCTTCCTTGCAGAAAGGTGAACTCTCATGCTTTCTGTTTTTTGGCAGCCCAACAGCAGCAGTGATAACTTACAGTCTATTACATCCGGTGATTGGGATGTAACAAAGATTTTGGCGTACAATGAAAAGAGGCATAAAATGTAAGTAAAGTGGTGGGTGTAAATGACTCAATGAAGAGGCTCCCAACTTTTAGCTTCTGCTTCTACAGCTGGTTGCTCTACAATTGCCATTTTGAAAATATCTGAAGGCTTTTTATGTGTAGAGATAAAAGCATAGGCAAAAGAAAAGTGTGGACTACATCTGATTTTGGCTTAAGTACTAGTTTAAACTGGAATATATCTGTTCAGTCTTGCCTTATGTTTTTCTTTTTTCCCCACTCGTGCTGTTTTTAATAACTAATCTCATTTTGGTATCAAAGTCAGAGAGGGAGGTCAGAGAGTGTATTTCATCATCAACAACTTCTAATGAAAATCTTTGAAGATAGATCTCTGTGTCATTTAACAGGTCCCGTTACATATAGTCCTCATAGTGTCAAAAAGAAACATTTTTGGCTGTCAAAATATTATTGGATTATGTAAATGTTTCTAATCAACCAACTGACATAAGATTTTTCCAGTATCCGTTGTTTCCATCGTGTTCCTTTATAATCATCTAATAAGATGCATCTGTTCTTGGTTTTGTCCTAAAATATCAGCAAAATAAAGTAAAAGAGTAGTCTAAAAAGATTTCTTCTGATTCATATACTGTGTGTTTGCCTCCCATGCCCCCACCCTGGAAGTTTCAGTGAGATACAAGATCCCAAATTCTAGACATGGTACATTTAGACTTGGTGTTATCCAAATTAATTCGCCATTAAATAGCTGGGTCAAAAGGTATTAGACCATCCCAACTATTGAATTGTTAATTATTATAGCTTAGTGCCCAGTGCTGTAAGGGGCTGAACACCTTTCATTCCTATGGATTTCAATGGGAATGGAGAGTATGCAGCACTTGGCTGATTTGTGCCCCAACGTATGTGATTAGTCACACTGGAATTTTAGTAACTAGGTTCGGGAACCATCCAGATGGACAGGAAGACTAGCAAGTAAGGCAGAAGACCAGTTTGCCTTGTCAGGGAACTCTTCAGTGAGCTAAAACACAACAAGAAAACTTACAAGAAGTAGAAACTTGGAGAAAAGGCTTGAGAGGAGCATAAGAGTATTGCTTGGGCATGCAGAGATGAAATCAGGAAAGCCAAAGCACAATTGGAGTTGCAGCTAGCAAGGAACACAAAGGGAAGCAAGAAGGGTTTCTACAAATATGTTAGCAACAAGGCTGAAGTGCTCAATACCTTTTTTACCTCAGTCTTCACAGGCAAGGTCAGCTCCCAGACTCCTGCACCTGGCAGCACAGTATGGGGAGGAAGTGAACAACTGACAGTGGCAAAAGAACAGGTTAGGGACTGTTAGAAGAGCTCGACATGTACAAGTTCATGGGGCCAGATGCACCCGAGGGTGCTGAGGGAGTTGGCCAGTTGCAGAGCTGCTGGCCATCATCTTTGATAACTCATGGTGATCAGGAGAGGCCCCAGATGACTGGAAAAGGGCAAACATAGTCTCCATTTTTTAAAAAGGGACAGAGGAGGGTCCAGGGAACTACTGACTGGTTTGCCTCACCTCAGTACCTGGAAAAATCATGGAGCTGGTCCTCAATTTATAAGCATTTGGAGGAGAAGGTGGTGATTAGGAGCAGTCAGTATGCATTCACCAAGGGCAAGTCATGCCTGACCATCCTGATTGCCTTCTGTGATGAGATGACTGGCTCTGTGGATGCAGGAAGAGCGGTGGACATGCTATACCTTAACTTTAGCAAAGCTTTTGGTAGCATCTCCCACAACATCTTTGCAAGCAAGCTGAGGAAGTATGGGTTGGATGTATGGACTGTAAGTTGGATAGAAAGCGGGCTGAATCATTGGGCTCAAAGGGTAGTAATCAATGCTTCAGTGTATAGTTGGCAGCCAGTATCAAGGGGGGTATCCCTGGGGTTGGTGCTGGGGCTGGTTTTGTTCAATATCTTCATAAGCAACCTGAAAGATGGGACGGAGTGCACCCTCGCTCAGCAAGTTTTCAGATGACATCAAGCTGGAGGGTAGGTCTAGGATTCAGGAAGACCTGGACGAATGGAAGATTGAACCAAAAGAAATTTTATGGGGTTCAATAAGAAGAAGTGCCAAGTCCTGCACTTAGGATGGAACAATCCCATGCACCAGTAGAGCCTGGGGACTTGGTAAACGGCAGCTTTGCAGAAAAGGACCAGGGGGTTAGAGTGGATAATAAGCTGAATATGAGCTAACGATGTACCCTTGTTGCCACGAAGGCACAGGTACATTAGTTGGAGCATTGCCTACGCACTGAGGGAATTGAGTCTTTCCCTCTATTCAGCACTGATGAGGCAACATCTTCAGTACTGTGTACAGTCCAGTTTGGGCCCCCCAACTACTGAAAAGATGTAGACATATTAGAGGAGATCCAGCAGGTCAACAAAAATGGTTAGGGACTGGGGCACATGGCTTATGAGGATAGGCTGAGGGATCTGGGCTTATTTAGTCTGCAGAATAGAAGACTGAAGAGGGGATTTAATAGCAGCCTACAACTACCTGAAGTGGGGTTCAAAAGAGGATGGAGCTGGGCTGTTCTCAGTGGTGGCAGATGACAGAACAAGGAGCAACGGGCTCAAGTTGCAGTAAAGGAAGTTAGGTTAGATATTAATAAAAACTTTCTCACTAGGAGGGTAGCAAAACGCTGGAACAGGTCACCCACAGAGGTGGTGGAAGCTCCATCCTTGGAGGTTTTTAAGACCCAGCTAGACAAAGCCTTGGCTGAGATAATATAGTTGGGGCTGGTCCTGCTTTGAGGGGGTTGGACTAGATGTGATGACCTGAGGTCCCTTCCAGCCCTCATTTTCTATGATTCCATGATTCTTGACTTTGCCTTTTCAAATAAAGTTGGCCACCCCTTGCAGAGTTAGCTATCTCTAGGAGATAAGGCACTGTTTAATTGTAACCTCAGGAAGCTGGTGCCTTTATTCTTCTCAAACAGAAGTGGAACTGACTGCAGCATCAATGGAAAGCCTGGACAGTGAGAATCCTTCCAAATTTAAGCTTTCTCTTCCCTCCCTCCTTCAAGCAGAGACTTTGAATAGACATTGCAGGTGACAAGTTGAGAGTTGGCCAAAACTGTCAAAAGTTATTGGAAGAGTGGGGTTTTTAATCTCACAAGAAAAAGTATTTTAAATTATTTTAAATACCACATACAGAGTTCTTTGCATGAGCCATCTTCTTTTGGTGTGCAACTGTCACATGTACTTCAGCACTGAAACATTTTCAACCGGACTTAGCTGCAATGCAGCTTACCAAACATGTATATCCTCTACTGTGGAGAGGTCACTGCCACTTATTTTTGTAATGGGATGAAATGAAAAAGGCACAGGTTTTTGCAGTTTCCTTTACAGGATCATGGAAATATTTTTGGGGTGGCTGTAGATGTAAATAATGTATGTGTAAATACCCACCCCAGAATCTAATAGTCTCTATTGTACTTTATATTTTTAGTTACTTCCTCAGCACAGAAGATTTACCCAGGAGGCGGCATTTATACAGGTACGTTTTTTGTCCTTTTATTTGCAAAATGTGAAATCGGTCCCATTCTAGAGGACGTGTAACAATTACATGGAAACCGTTTCAAACACAATTTAGTTTCCCCTGCACAAAAATAAGCCTGCATACATTTGCATTTTGTGTAATCATATTAGCACGTTACGGAAACCTAACAAAATCACAGAAATGTTGGGTCTTAAAAACAAGCGGAATCAGCTGGACATTGTTTGCAAATGCTTTTTCTCCAGTTTCACACAGCTTCAACATGTTCTCTACAGCTGTACAACGAACACGTGAGGGCTAGTTGACATGCAAGTTATCTGCGTGACAACTGAGAAATAAATTGCTGTGGGCTTAAGAACAGTGAGTCTGTTCTTAGATGTACTTGTTTCCAGCCTCTTTTTTGCCTCAGACCCCAAGCACTCTAAAATGTTCATTTGCTAATCCTCACAACAGCTTGAGGAGGACGTGGGAGGGAGGGTAAGGGAAAGTAGCATTATTCTCATTCTACAGATGTAGAAACAGAGGCACATACAGGATACATCTCTGGTGTATCCATCACCTCTAGCCCTCACACTGCTTCCTTTGGCTGTTTTCCCGTATCCATTGTGAAGAGCAGGGGCAGTGCTGAGCTCCTTTTGGCTGCCAGCTTGTTTACCTCCTGTAACATGATGCAAAGTTTTCCTCCCAAGTGGGAACGCAAAGCAACAAACTGAATTACTAGTGATTTAATTATGTCTTTCCTTCCTCTGCCTCTGTCCACTTTGCTCAGCGGTGCTTTGAGAGGCTTGGCTTTCAGCATCCATTTTTTAAATTAAAAAATCACATCAAATCTGCTTAGGCCATTCACTTGTATTATAGTGAATAAAGCTCATTTTCTGTGAGAAATCTCCACTGTAAGCATTGGCCTGATTCAGACTACTTCCACCTTCCAGATATAACTAATCTCTGCAGGTAGCTACTGTTCACTAACTTGCTGGGACTCAGATAAATTTTCTTGGCTCCACTGAAGTCACAAGGGCTCTGGCAGTTTCTAGCCTGCAAGTCTCTGGCCCCCAGTTTGTAATCCCTGGTTGAAAGTAGCAGCAAGTAAACAAAGCACAGCAAGGTAAAAGAGGGTGCAGATTGAGCACACATCAGCTGATGTCAGGAGCTGTCATGCGTGCCTGCTCTCACTTCATAGTAAGTGAATGGGAAAGTAGGGCAGCTTCCTCCTGTTTCCCTGAGAACTGAACTGTCCCGATGTAGAGTCCACTTCCTGCAGGGGAAGAGAGGGCAAATACAAGAAGTCCCTGCTGCCTTGCAATTCGCTCTTCTTTCTTTGCTTGTCCATACCCCTAGTAAATGACCCAGGCCTCCCTTCACGTGGAGAGTACAAGCTAGTGCCCAGAATGGGAGCAAGGGTCTAATGCAGTAGGGCCCAGGGTTTTGGCCCCACTGGGTAGGTGAGTGGCACGGGGTCAGTCTACAGGCTGGATCCTGCATGGGGCTGGCACATGGAGTCGGTCCTTGGTCCTGAGCCTGTGCTGCCCATGCCCCATGTGTTTGGATCTGGCTGCACACTGGCACAGTCTAGTGTGCAGGTCCACATTATCCAGCCCACAGGGCTTTCCAAGGGTCCAGACATTTGGCAACAGGGGAGCAGGACTGAATACTGCTATTGCTCCCCTGTCACCAAATTTCTGGACTCTTTGGATGATGTAACTCCAGCCCAAATTTGCTCCACTGACTCAGGGTTGAGCACTCCTGGTCTAGTGAATCCTAACCTCAGCTCTGCCACTGCCTGTCTCGGTGGCCTTGAACTAGCCTCATAGTGGGTGTGGACATGTGACACTTTACACCGGAGTAATTTGACTTCAATAAGTGAACTATGTGCAGTCTTATGTTACTGTAAATCAGGGCTGCCCCACCTGGCCATTACTCTTTCTACTGCTCCTGCTGTTTCTGGGGTCTCCAAGCTCCCTTTCCCTCCTCCAACTTTGGTTTCCTGTCCCTGCCCCTATGGGTGGCATGGTGGAGCTCGCAAGGGCTGAGGGAGCCCACGGTCCATGCAGAGGGAGGTCGCCCTACTTGTACTGCCCGTGCGGCAGTGGAGATCCTGTTAGCAAGTTTTTCCTCCGGGATAAAGTTACACAGGTGTACTAAGTGTGTGTCCATTCCCATTGTCTTGTTTCCATCCAGTACAAGCCAACTCTCCTCTCATTCTAGTGTGCAGGTACTATTGCTCCAGGCTTGGGAGAGCTGGTCATGAAGCTGCTCCTTTCTATAAAGTAAATTACTCTGTAGTAATTGTGCAATGTGTCCACATCTAGCACCTCTACTTCAGTTTTGCTGCCCATAAAAGGAGACTAATACTTCTTCCCTGTGTTTCTGTAAAAAAATGTAAAGTGAAAAATTGCAACAGGAGTGCTGAGTATTACTATTTCCCGCCCTTTAGCCTGTAGTGTCCTGCTGTTTAGTGCTCTTGAGGACACAAGCAGGTCAGGCTGTCTGCTTTAAAAAAAGCAGCCTGAACAGCATCTTTTCTGTCTACTTGACTGTTGTGACTACCAATCCACAAGCTGTTATCAGAGTGGATAAGGAGGTCACAGTCCAGGAGGCAGGCACCAGCAAGTCAGTTCCCCTTTATAATAAATATCATCTGTTATAGAAACACTGTGCCCTAATTTCTGTTGGTCTATTTATACTGCAAATGCAGCTGCAGCCATTATTTCTTGGAAAGCTGTGCAGCTGCTATACGGCCTGTCCTTGAAAAAAATCAAACCAAAGGAAAAGGTTATCAGTACCCTTTTATATTATTTTTCCATGTAGGCAAAAAAAAGCACCATTACTTCTATTTAAACTCTGTTGAGTTTAAATAGAGGTTTCTCTTAGGAACGCTGGACACATTATAGTTCGGTTCTACAGTGCAATCAAGTGCCAGAATATTGTTTCAGTATAATCCCTGCTCAGTGACCTTCATGGATATGCATTAATTTTTTCAGTGCAAGCACAAATGGAAACTTCAACAGGCAGTGTCTGTCATGTGATCTGATTGAAAACTGTACTTACTTCAGCGCCTCATTCAGTCACAACCTGGACTACTTCTTACTGACCTGTGAAGGTACTTTTGTTTCTTGTATTGCTAAGGCTGGATTTTTGAGCAGGCTTAGACCAAGTTTGTAGGCACATGCAAAAAAAAAGTGAGCCAGCAGCACAAAGGTGGGTCATCTTCAAATGTATGTTTTGCTTGATAATTTACAAACCATGTTTTTGGAAGAAAAATCTTAATCTGCGCTGACAGCAAGAGTGCTCTGTAGTTACACTATGTAATGCACCCTGGATCTGCTATAGCTTGTTACATGATGGATGGGCGAATGGGGCATGAGCCATTGGGGAGCTGTCTGGGGGTGAAGGTGTGAGAATAAAGCTAAGGGGATACCTCACCCTCCAGTCCCCCATCCACTCCTGTCCCCTTTACCCTGCATCTTCCCTGCAGTGGCTCTGACAGCAGGGAGGGCAGAGAAGCAGAAGTGGCAGCAGTGCAGGAGATGACAGGACACCAACACAAGTGAAGCCCTGGCCGTGGCTACTGCCACCGGGGCCCAGTCCTGGCCAGTTACACCTCTGGTTTGTTATATTCAATGTAAAGATCAGAGGCATACATCTCACTTTCAAAATGACTTTGGTTACAGAGAGAGGTAATCATTTCATTATGATCAAAGGACACCAACATAAGCTGTTGCAATGCAATTGTTGACCACATAATCCTGTATTAAGACGAGCATATCAAAATGCTGCATCCTTCATTCAGGGTGAAATCTACAGCAATTTAGCTCACTTATGGCACTCCAGCAGCATGCAGAGGTAGATGTTACAGCGTGAGCTGATGCTCCCTCTCTCCTTTTAAAGTACGCAGTTTACCCAAATCCAAGATGATTTCAAATTTAAGATGACCCCCCCCCAATGCTTAGATTCTAGACATGGAAAAAGCATAAATGTGTTACCATTTTCCATATAGAAAATCTAATTATTGCAAGGTCACGTTAAGTTTGTCCCTACCCACTGCTGCAATGGGGACAAGCAGTGGTGGGGGGGCAGGCAGCAAGGCAGTCAGGTGGCTTGACCTCTGCCCTTTCCTCCCTGTCCCTCGCATCACTTGCCCCCTTGGTGGGGTCGTAATAGGCTACAGAATGAACATGAGCCACCAGTGAGGTGCTGTAGCTGGCAGAGCAAATCAAACACTGGCATGCATCTACCGGTGCATTTCAAGCAAGACTAAAGGTGTCATCCTCCCACTCTGCTCGGCCTTGGTGAGACCACAGCTGGAGTACTGCGTCCAGTTCTGGGCACCGCATTTCAGGAAGGATGTGAAGAAGCTTGAGAGAGTCCAAAGGAGGGCATGAGCATGATTAGAGGTCTGGAGAGCAGGTCATATGAGGAGAGGCTGAAAGACTTGGGACTGTTCAGCCTGGAGAAGAGAAGACTCAGAGGGGACTTGGGGACAGCCTGTAAGTATATCAAGGACATATATCAGGGCCTGGAGGACCATCTGTTCACCAAGGACCCCCAGGAGACTACAAGAAACAACGGGCACAAACCAAGTGAAGATCGCTTCAGATTAGACATAAGGAAAAACTGCTTTACAGTTCGAGTGTCATGCATCTGGAACAGACTCTCCCCCTTCCCCGCCCCAGAGGTGGTACAGTCATCCACCCTGGAGATCTTCAAAAAAGCATCTTGACACCCACATTGCTGGGGTCATCTGATCCCAGCAGTCTTTCCTGCTCAAGTGCAGGGGGGCTGGACCTGATGATCTTGTAAGGTCCCTTCCAGCCCCTAACAGCTATGAATCTATGCTTGTCCCCTAGTACCTGCCCCCTCCACTCCTTTCCTCCAGCCTGCCCCCCTACTGTTTGCCCCCCAAAACCAGTTCCCCTTTTTGCTCCCCCATGCCTGGCCCCTATTTCCTCCCCACAACTGCCTCCCCATGCTT